GGCCGAGCTGGGCAGCGGGCTGGAGCTACCGGGGGCGGAGGGCCAGTGGACCCGCTTCCCCAAGTGGAACGCCTGCTGCGAGAGCGAGATGAGCTTTAACATGAAGACGCGCAGCTCCAGCGGGCTGGTGCTCTACTTTGACGATGAGGGCTTCTGCGACTTCCTGGAGCTCATCCTCACCCAGGGTGGGCGGCTACAGCTCAGCTTCTCCATCTTCTGTGCCGAGCCCGCTACCCTGCTCTCCGACACGGCAGTCAATGACAACCTCTGGCACCCTTCAAGGGCTGGATAACGGATGTCCGGGTCAACTACACGCAGGCGTCGCCAGTGGAGAGCCAGGAGGTGCGGCTGGACGACGAGCAGAGCCGCCTGTGCGCCAGGGAGGATGTCTGCCTCAATGGGGGTGTCTGCTCGGTGCTCAATGACCAGGCCGTCTGCGACTGCTCCCAAACAGGCTTTCGGGGGAAGGACTGCAGCGAAGGTAAGGTGCCATTTCAGCTCGCCTCACCGCCCCCCTCCCCATTGCTCCGTGGAGGGGACGGGTAGAAGGCCAGGCTTGCATGGAGTTTCATCTGTATGAGTGGATCTCCCTCCCTCTCTACCCTTCCCTCCCCGCCGCATCCCCAGCTCCTCTCTTCCCCGCCTTTCCCTCCCTGCCCTCCACGTGTCTCTGTGGCCGACCATGGTGCCATCACTTTTCTGTTCTCTGCGAGGCTGGGCGAGAGGAGGAGGAGGTTATTTGGGCATCTTCCAGAGGCGGGATGTGATTTGGGGTTGTCCTGGGTGGAAGAAAGGTGGGTCCTGGGTGCTGGATGTCACCTGGAAGGGAGGGGGTGGCCGGCATCGTGCTTGGCCAGAGTTGAGGGAGTGGATGGGAACACTTGTCACAAGCAGCTGGTGGCAATTAATTTGGGGAGTGGGGAAAGCAATGCTGGGGAGAATTTTACTGGATTAAGTGCAAGGACGGCCTGGGTTTATTTTTGTAGGTTAGGGAAGACACAGAGTCCACTTTGTATTGATATTTGCTGCTGCTAGTCGTCGAAATAAAATCAGTGATTTATTTGTGAATTCCTTAAATTGTTGCCGGGGAAGAGGGGGATTAAACGGAGGATTATGTTTTTACACGAATGTGAATGATACTGCTTTGTAATGTGTTTAGCAATTCACCGTGGCAGGGAGAATACAAAAGGGCAAGGGGGAAGTACATACTCCAAGACCACAAAATTACTGAATAGTTTTACCAAGGAAGAGGGAGCTTAGAAAAACAGCAGTTTCCTGAATCCCATCTGCAAATAAATCACTGAGTGAAATATGATTCATATTCAGTGCCCATTGTTTTTGGCGAATGGAAGGACTGTGAACATTTACTTTGCAGATGCGTGTAGGACTCCTTTTTTATTTTGCTAGCAAATGTACCATTGTTTGCAGCTCCTTAAATATAGAGAATACATATGTTGTGTACCTAGAACAGGATGTAAAGGTATACGAGTGAAACAAGAGAAAACGTTATCAAAGGAAAATACAATCTTCATGTCAAAATTGGAGAGCAAAGACCTTAGTTTAAAATGTAAAATGTAAATATAAATAAGGTATTTCACGGCCAAATGAAGATCTTCACTGAGTGGCTGCATGACATTTATGACTGAATAATTTGGCTTTACCATTTCTATCAGATTTCACTCATTATAAGAAAGAAGGCATAATTTGTGACTGTGCTTTATTATGTAACACCTTCTGTCCTGAGTGTCAATACCCAAAACACTACAGTCATTCTGTATCCTGTTTACTTTATCAGCTGTTTATCTTCATCTGCCATTTGTTAAAAAATTTAAACCCTGTTAACATTTTAAAATCATTTTTAATAAGTAAAGAGCAAATGATAGTTTCAGAAAATAAGACATTTGTACTTTCAATAGCACACAGTCCCAGAAACTATAAAATGAAATATCTTTTATATTAGGTAAGATCACATCAATGGATTTAGTATTTGGATATAGATTTTTAATACATCGTACTACATAATATAAAGGTGTATGCGAAATACTGAGTTGTCTTGTCATCTTTGAGTTAGGCCCTATTATAAACCAAAAACAAAATTATGAGGTGTAGCAGCGTGGTTAAAGCAACGATAGCACTTTATATTACATTATTATACATTTATATACCCTTTATGTTAAGACATAGTTTATTTATTTGAAGTAATTTTGAACTTTTAATATTTGTATGAAAAAGTTCATATAATTGCATGTAATGTCAGTCACAGAAAATCTTATCTTTACATAATAATAAGATCAATAGCTATTTTTAAGGAACATTTTTATTTTTAGATTGAATATTATTGAAATACATATATATGTTTATGTATATTAAAATTGTATAGAGCTTATAAGAAGGTGATACTCAAAATAATACTTTGAATTAGGGTAAAATGCTGGCTTCATTCAAATACTGGTGGTTTTACAATTGACCTCAGTGGGATCAAGATTCCCCTTTTGTTTCCCTTGACCACTAAGAAGCCTTATAAAATAATAGCAAGACTTAGAATTTTATCATGTTCTCTCAAGAAAGGGTCATAAAATTATTCAGATTCTGATTTCATTTGAAACACAAGGCAACATTTCCACTGACAGCAATATAAATGGAACTAGTCTTACAGTTTATATCTGTTGATTGAGAAAAGATGGTAACTGAAATGCCCATCAGTCAGGTTTTGATGAAGGTTATCAGTAGCTACTCATATGTGCTATTGAACTATTTTATAAATGATTTAATATGCTAAGAAATAGAAAAAGCAGAAGGACAAGTAAATCCATTATGTCTGCCAAGGAAGAAACCCTGGCTATTCTTGTTTAGTTCTTTATAGCCAACATAGAAAATTTGCTGTTGAAATTTGAATTTTGTTCCTACAATATGTAGATTTCTCATAAAGCTTAGTAAGAGGTTGCCATTGCTGAAGGATGCAGGATCACCTCAGACTGCAGGGGTCAAATCACCTTAGATCTGGAGGGGTCCTGAGTTTTCACTCTGTCTTGTCCTACTTTTTGACTAAAAATGGTTTAGATGAAAATATCCCCAACTTTCCATTTTTATCTGAAATTGTAACCACATGTCCTAGTTGATTCCTTTTCTTTAAAGGTGCAAGATGGTAATTAAATTCTATTTTTCTTGGATTTTTTTTTTTTTTTAATTGGCTTGGATTTAGTGTGCTTCTGCATCTCTGCAGTCTGGTAAACCAGGGAGTCACACAGTATAATGAGGACTTTAGAAATCACTAACAACAACAACAAAGAAAACCTTTCCAAAATTTTCTAGCCTGACTTGCACATTTGAGAGACTAGAAATCATTGATTTAGAGCCAACATTTCAGGCCTTAGGATGCAATTTTTGCTAGCACTTAATTTACTTTCAGGAAAAAAATCTGCTGGTTTTTTTTTTTCCTTGAGAGACTAGAAATCATTGATTTAGAGCCAACGTTTCAGGCCTTAGGATGCAATTTTTGATAGCAATTTACTTTCAGGAAAAAATCTGCTGGTTTTTTTTTTCAGATTTTCATCTTTGAAAATCTCATTAATTTTTCATGAAGTAAAATTTTATTATGGGAATAAAGTTTAACCAATCTTATTTGTTTTGGAGAACCCATAGTAATATAAGTTATTACCAGTAGGCTTAACTGTCCTTGTACCTGTCTAAATCAGGAGTAGCTTCATTTATGTTAACTGAACTATACCGGTGTAAGCTAGGAAAGAATCAGATTTATTGCATTCAGTCATGCTCTTTGTTCAAATGGGATCTAAACTGTCTTCAATGGGAGGTTTGGCATGAATAACAGCGAGAAGGATTGAAGTTTTGCTTGAGTATCAAGGGTGTGTAGTCTACAGCACAGAAAAATACGATCTGTAGCAGTTCCGTTGTTGATTAGTCCGTGTGCTTATGAGTAAAGACAGTAAAAGAGCCGTCCAAAAGAGAAAATAAAATCTCTGTTTAGTGCTGAAACAGGCAAGTGAGTATTATTTCATGTAATAATAGTGACTCAGTAGATTGAAAAATACACAAAATTATGATAAATTTTTATAGGAATAAGACTAGCATTAAAATAAACCCTGATTGCCATATCAATGTTCTGATAAGTCTTTGACACACATCACAGCCTTCTATTCAGGGAAAATTATATTATTCCTTGAAATGAATCAAATTGGTATGGCTTGATTCTATGATAGGGAGAGCTGTTCATTAAGAAGACTGATCTTTAAAACCAAATTTTTAGTTAATTAAATCAGGGTCCTAGAAGGTAGGGAAAATACATGATTCATATCAGTGAGCCACCATATTCCTCTTCTCATTTTGCTCCTTTTGTTAATATTTCAGAAGAAAAAGAAGTATTTAAAATATTAAATTTATAAAATAGTGACACTCTGGCTTTAGACAAAGAAATATATATCATTTTCCTTTCATCCTCATTTATATAAAAGTAACCTTGTCCAGTATCTTGTCTGAGAAAATAGGCAGATACCTCTGAAGGAGGAAATAGCACGTAACACGCTTTGACTTGGGAGAAGTTTCTCATTGACCCCAGCTTCTTGTCACTCCATGCCCTTCTGCTTTTCTAGATCTGTAATTGCTTGAAAAAAATGCATACAGGATAATTTATCTTTTTAAAATATAGCTGGCCTACTTGGGTCAATATTAGTAAGTTATAGAGACACTTTGTGAATTCAAAGTATTCCTATTTGGAACATGTTTTATTTTAACTGTTCTACTGAGTTTCTGGTTTGTGGGAAAAATGAGGACTGTTCATGCAGCTGTTCACTGGAAGAGATAGTCTTCCTTGTCAGATATTCAGAAATTGATGCCAGCTATGGTTTGAACTGTGAAAGTGATTTTTTAAGGAAGTGAATTCCAGATGTCTCAGGCTAGCCAGCATTTAGATTTGTTTGTTTGGGTTCTGAATATGTTACATCAATCTTTGTTGTGTTTATTTCCCTCTTCATGTTAACTTTTTAAAAAGTCATCCAATATTTATATCCTCTTAAAAAATTTCATATTTTAATTCATTCAGTTCTCTTATGCCTTGAATAAAACATATAAACATATTCTGGCATTAATTATCTTTTGCAAGATATGTGTTTGAGTGTAAAAGTGATGCTGTTGAACTCATTGCCTATAGTAAATTTTAACAGAGCACCCACCATGGTCTTCATCCTTCTTGAATAGTTAGCTAAATATACTCTGAACTAGTAAATACAGTGAGCAAAACTTTCCTTTTGATTTGCACTTCAGAATCGTTATCTACAATGCACATCTCTATTACATGATCTGTATTTCTTCTGCATGCTGAATTTCTTGTCAGTGCCAGTGGCCACTGGGATGATGTTGATTTAGGAGGAGGGCTAGAAATCCACTAGAGATTACACTAAGGTTCTGTTGTATTTACAGATGATTTGATTAATTTAACAATGAATGTTTTAATTTTATTTAGCATTTTTAAAAAGTGACTTTGTCACTACTGTCAGGTAGAATCTTGAGGGCAGATAGTCAAGTAATCCCAAAGCCTTCCAAAACTGTATTAAATCTGTGCCCTTCTCATTTAGCTGTATGAAAACAGAATCCTCATGTCAGTTTAAAGCAGAATTTTGCATCGTTTTCCTAATGCAATTTGATATATTATTTTGTTTGCCAGGATTCAGCATTATAGAATATTGATTTCAATATCTGCCTCATGTAAAATCTTGGCAATTTAAATACTGTGTCACTGGTAATTAGGAATTGGCAGTCTATTTTATATTATCTTCTAAGAAAGCTACTTGTTGAATATTGCTAATCCCTTCAAAATGCTGATATCAAAAGCATTCCAGAAGACCACTTA